TGTGCTTTAGGATGGATTTTTCGCTGCACAGGCATTGGAAAATGGCTGCCCTATGGAGGATCTTTGCTGAACGCTGAGGTATTTAGCCCATTGGAATGCATTGAGCGGTTTTCAATACATTTCAATGGGCTTTTTTATTTCGCTTGATGAGGATTTCACTTTACAGCGATTTCGCTGGAACAGATTATCCTCGTCAAGTGAGGCACCACTGTACTTTTGAGTATTACACTTACTATGTAATCTCTACATGAGGTTAGCAGAACCTCGGCAAGAACAGCTTTGTCAAAACAGGCTGACAAAACCAAAAAGTATTTCTAGACACAGAAGAGACATATTAACATGCTTCCGTGTGCCTCTGTATAGCAGGCAACCCGGCTCCCCCATATATTTTCATATTCATATATTTTCGCTGTGGGTTGAGGTGAGGTACTGACGGACTGGCAGCTCTTGGTCTAACCATGTTTGAATTATTCTAATCCTCCTTGCCCAATCTGAAACCTACCATCTCTGAGCATATTCGGTAGCCCCCATTTTGGAGCTTGCTGTAAACAAGGGACTTGGCCCGCACATCTATCCATGGAGTTTGGAACTTCTTTTCTGAATCACTCAGTAATGCACAACCTGATGAAGACTTGTTTAGAGTAAAACAAGAACAACAACAACAGTCTCTCTGTGTGAGATTTTAGTGGTCTAGTAAAGGCATTGCCCACCCTTGTCTTTGGCTTACATACAAGGGCCACACAGATTTCTTTCCTTTTATTAACTGGCTGTAGATTAATGGTAAATATGGGTTGCCATTGCAATGAATTATAGGTCAATGCAAAATAGAAATAAAAGGTTAAAAAATATGGTCACACCTTAAACACTAATTTCTATATTTTTTAATGTGAGCTTTTGTAGAAAGTTTCACTTCATGAGACATCGGATGAAGTGGACGTGCCCACAAAAGCTCACATAAAAAAAATATATAGAAGTTACCCTGTTTCCCTGAAAAGAAGACCGAACCTGAAAACAAGACCTAGTATGATTTTTAAGGATGCTTATAATATAAGTCCTACCCCCAAAATAAGCCCTACTTAAGTGAAAGCCCACCCTCCACTATTGTGCAGCAACCAGAAGATGACCTGACTGTACAGTAGTGCCTTGCAAGGTGAAAACAATTCATTCTGTGAGTCCCTTCGTATCGTGAAAATGAGCTTTTGTAGAAAGTTTCACTTCATGAGATATCGGATGAAGTGGATGTGCCCACAAAAGCTCACATTAAAAATATAGAAGTTACCCTGTTTCCCTGAAAAGAAGACCGAACCTGAAAACAAGACCTAGTATGATTTTTCAGGATGCTTATAAGTCCTACCTCCAAAATAAGCCCTAGTTAAGTGAAAGCCCACCCTCCACTATTGTGCAGCAACCAGAAGAAGATGACGTGACTGTACAGTGGTGCCTTGCAAGACAAAAACAATTCATTCTATGAGTCCCTTCGTATCGTGAAAAAGATTATCTTGTGAAGCATTAAAAATATAGAAGTTACCCTGTTTCCCTGAAAAGAAGACCGAACCTGAAAACAAGACCTAGTATGATTTTTCAGGATGCTTATAAGTCCTACCTCCAAAATAAGCCCTAGTTAAGTGAAAGCCCACCCTCCACTATTGTGCAGCAACCAGAAGATGACCTGACTGTACAGTAGTGCCTTGCAAGGTGAAAACAATTCATTCTGTGAGTCCCTTCGTATCGTGAAAATGATTATCTTGCGAAGTGCGGCTTCCCATACAAATGCATTGAAATTGCCTTCAATGCATTCCTATGAAACACCTCGCAAGACGAATGCCATTTTTTCATCTTGCAAGCATCACTGCAAGATGGGAAAAAAATCATATTGCGAAGCACAGACATTGCAAAACGTGTTCGTTTTGCGAGTTTTTTGTGGCACGAGGCGTTTGTCTTGCAAGGTACCACTGTATTTGAATAAACATAGATTGTACATGAAAAAAATAAAGCATCATCCCCTGATATTAAGCCCTAATGCATTTTTGGAGCAAAAATTATAATAAGACCCTGTCTCATTTTTGGGGAATCACAGTAGATTAATAATGGTTTATATTAATTAAGAAAAGAATCCTAGAGGAAAGATAGGATGAGCAGGATACGACAGAGGAAAACACAGGATAAAATGCCAAGGCTCCAAGTTACAGCAAGGAAGCCTCTGAAAAGAAGCCCTAATGCGTTTTTTGGAGCAAAAATTGATATAAGACCCTGTCTTATTTTTGGGGAAACAGGGTAGTCTTCAAGGTATCACCATATTTTTGTCTTTTTAAACTTTTTATTTCTATTTTGCCTTTATCTATAACACTTTCACAGACTAACATGGCTACCCCTTCTACATTACAGTAAATAAACATAAGTCTCATGTTCTCTCCCCCGCCCCCTCAGCAGAGCCAGGGAATCTTAAGTTTTCAAGTAACTGCAATTTATTGTTAAGTCTGAATCCTAAACTGTGAATAACCCAAACTACGGCTCATGAATATAAGCTAAATTTAAATATTCTCATCTACTGTTCACTTGTCTAAGCAAACCAGTATTAAAACTAACCACAGTTCGTTCATGATAAAATAAAACAATAAACTGTGGTTTGTCAAAAACAAAAGCAAATATTTCTAATCTTTGCTTTATGGCCATAGCAGAGGAGGAGAGTGATGGAAAGACTGTGATGAGTCTGGGACTCATTTAGGTGATCAGCCTGGGACTCATTTAGCACCTGAGAATAGATTATGTGACCAAGAAGAAAAATGGGCCCAGTTTCAAATAGGACAGAAAGTATTAAAACATATTACCTAGGGAGTTCTTGAAAAAGCCAGAAAAGAAAAAGAAGTCACATTTTTTCTCAACTTACTTTGCGAGTATTCATTTCAAAATTCTGTCTTGTATACAACAGTATAATGAGCAGAACTGCCTTGTTTCTAAAACCATTTACTTTTTAGTTTCAGTTCCAAAACATTTGCTGGAAGAGAAATTCTGTTGATTTTGGAAGTCAACAGACTACTTTCCAGACAACATTTTAAAATACCAATTTGACCACACAGAACCCTGAAAAGAACTGGCTCCGATTCTAGATTCCATTTATTTCCACTCAAAAATCTGCAACAAAAAGTTTGTCAGCTTCAACTCATAGTCTAAATTAAGAGCTAAATCCTTCTTGAAAGAGCTGAATATAAGCAGAGACATTCAGAAGGCAAATAAGAGCTTTATTATAGCCAATTCTCCACTCTCAGCTATTATCTAACTTCAGACTTCAAGGTCTGTAAAATCCTTATCTTAACAACCAAACTACAAACTAATACGTAAATATCAACAATAACTGGCATAGCAATTACACTTTATGCTCTGGCCACCTTCCCAGCTGCCCTTTCCCACATTTCTGTTGAATAATGAATCCAACGGCAAGTTCACAAGCAATTATCATGCTTTGGCTTAATATACTGCTTTGCCTAAAGTAATTTTAGTGGTTCAACAGCAGCTCAGCATAGCTTTGCCCATGCCATTACCACATATGAATTTCTTGTTCTCAAAGGGAAGATTTCTGAAATTAAAAGCCACTGCTTATATGTCTAGTCATGGGAAAAAGGACATTCTATAGTACAGGATCATTCCTTCAAGTGCCTCATCCTTTGCCTGGCCACCACTGAAGCAACCTACTACATTACACATCATTTTCCCCCCATTCCATCTGAGTATTATTATTTTTAACAGGATAATGGCTTATTACATGTCTTTCTCTCTCTCTCTCTCACCCTAATCTATAACTCAAGGTTGGTGTCAGGATAAAATGGAGTGGTAGGAAACAATATTCACTGGCTTAAGTTCCTTAGATGATACAAATTTAAGAAACAGATGCTCTTACAAATATTGACAGAGCTACGAACACCAAGAGTTAGTGCAGTTCAGTGGGCTGGACTGGGCTGGATACAGAGCTAAGGGACTCCTAGGAAATCACCTGGAAAATGTGGGGCTGAGGGGACTACGTGCCCTTCCCACCGTGCAGTCTGGCACAAGCTACACAACCCCAGAGTGCCACCAGGAGGAGGCCTGGCAAACCATTTCTGAATAGCTTATATCCACCACAAGTTAGAATCAGCTTGATGGCATATAATTAATATTTGGAAAAAAAAAAAAAAAACAACAACAACAACAAAAAAAACCAACAACAACAACAACAACAACAACAGCATAGAGGGAATATCAGTTCCTGCTAGGCTTACCTGGAGATCTGATGTCCAGCATACAACAACACTGCAGTTAGAAAATACAAGTAAAGTTGAACCAGGTGTTGTCTGGGCAAGGTTAGGAGCACAACACTTAAGATATAACCTGGAAAAGAAATGGAAATAATTCACAGCTAAATGCATGATTCTTTACAGAAGATTTTTCATTCTTTTCAAACTGAAAATTGAAGACCATGGCTAACAGCAATTTTTTAAGGGCATGCATCTTAACACCTTGTTAAGAGGCTGATAAAAGGCACACCACACCAAACCTGTGACTGGGCAACATTTGGTGCTGGACTACAACTCTATTTAGCTAGCAAAGCAAAGGGTGGGGGATGCTGGGAGTTGCAGTTCAAGAGCTGGAAATCCATCGGCTGACCATGCCTGTGCATCTGGACATCCATAAAATATCACCTGTGAAACACACCAACCTCACTTTATACAGACGTGTTGCAGGAAGGGAAGAGAAGGTCGCCTCCTAAACTCCTGCATTAAATTAAAAACACTCCTCTTTCAAGCAGCGTTGGCTTGTTCTCTGTTCATTTATTGAACAGTGTTACTTGTACCTTCTCACTAGTTAAAAACCCATAGAGCCTTAATCTGTGAGCATTTAGAAGAAATATAGAAAAAGCAGAATTAGAACAAAGAATCTTATGGCAAAAAAGGTCAAAGTTGTTGTCAACTACAGTTCATTTCATCAGCTACAGGAAGTGTAATGTTAAACAGGCAAGCATAGAAACGGACACCAACTATATAGGACCATAAAACCCATAACTTTTTTGTCAGCATTTTCAAGATGCCTCAATACACTTTGTTGGTTTTCTCACAGAAGACACATGGCTTCCACTCTGGAAATTCCTAAAAACACAACTAGGGTCTCCATTCTTTCACTTGAGACAGCATTTTCCTGCCAGTAAGAAAAGTGTCTTCTACACTGGAAAAGTAACCTTAATTCTGAAAAACAGTAAACCAGAACCCAATTTTGAAACAGAAGACTTTGTAACTGACTTATTTGCCTACTCTCTGCTTTGCATCACCCACATGGATATTATAACAGCTACTCAGCTGTAGATGTCTGGAAAGAAAATGATTCTGCCATATGTATGCCAGTCATTAGACCATATACATAAAATTCCTTAACATATTGGGTCCCTTTGGGGAGAAGGCTGGCATAGAAATATTTTAAATGAATAAGTTACCCGTCTCCTTCAAATTACTTATAACCAGAGAGCAATAAAAGCAGATTACAGAAACCATCTGAGGATTCATCATAAATGGAGGGTCCATGTGACTGCTTTCTCCCTGCAAACTGACAGCTACCAATCGCCTATGGTGATGATGATGGTAAAGGCCTCACTGAAATGTTATTTTGAAAGCGGCCTTCATTTTCCACAGAAATACTTTTAAAATGTCAAGGTTGTTGGAAGCAAAGCCTAATTCCCACAGACAATAACATAACAGAATGCACTCACACACAATGGCAGAAGGCAGCAATTACATACGAGTAGTTCTTATAGCATCATTTAATCTGTTCATTGTATAGAATGGAGAACCAGGGATCTGAATTTCAAGTTAATAACTTAGGAATCCAGTCTTAAATTTCACCCAGGAATGAGTATACTTAGAATACTGAACAAGAAGGGAAAAAAGGTAAATCACGCTCAAAACATAACAAAACAATTCAGCACTCAAATAATGCATTTTTGTCCAACTCAAGGTTCAGTCCAACATCACACTATAGTGTCTAACAAGACACAATTTATCATTCAAATATATACATAGTTACTATGAAAGCCTCTGGTTTGTCAGTGTCAGGAATGTCTACAACAACACTGTGTCCTGCATGTGCTGATTACAACTCCCATCATCCCTAGCCAACATGCATACGCACAGCAAAATCTACTATGCTATCTACAGTGCCATGTAGCCTTTATAAATGAAGGATCTGGGGAGGGGGGGCTAAAAAAAAAGAGAAGGCAGCAATTACATACGAGTAGTTCTTACAGCATCATTCAATCTGTTCATTGTATAGAATGATGGAGGGCAGGGTTTCACTTAACTGGGGCTTATTTTGGGGAGTAGGGCTTATATTATAAGCATCCTGAAAAATCATACTAGGGCTTATTTTCAGGATAGGTCTTATTTCAGGAAAACAGGATATCTGAAGGGCTACCTAAAGCAGGGATGGACACCAAGCAGCTTGCAAGCTACATGGGACCCCCACACAATATTTATGGCCTGAAAACCCCCTCCCATAGAAATATCTGTATTTAAAAAGCAAGTGAAAATTAGTGCCCAAATGTACCTCAGAAAAATCAACAATTCAGCTTCTAGTGAACTTATTTTCACTTTCTGAGTGAGTAAACATTGTTTGTTGTTGTTTAATCGTTTAGTCGTGTCTGACTCTTCATGACCCCATGGACCAGATCACGCCAGGCCCTCCTGTCTTCCACTGCCTCCTGGAGTTTGGTCAAATTCATGTTGGTTGCTTCAATGACACTGTCCAGCCATCTCATCCTCTTGCCCTCACACTTTCCCAACATCCAAGTCTTTTCCAGGGAGTCTTCTCTTCTCATGAGATGGCCAAGTATTGGAGCCTCAGCTTCAGGATCTCTCCTTCTAGTGAGCACTCAGAGTTGATTTCCTTTAAAATGGATAGGTTTGTTCTCTTTGCAGTCCAGGAGACTCTCAAGAATCTCCTCCAGCAGCACAGTTCAAAAGCATCAATTCTTAAGCGGTCAGCCTTCTTTATGGTCCAGCTCTCACTTCCATACATCGCTACTGGAAAAACCATAGCTTTGACTATGTGGACCTTTGTCAGCAAGGTGATGTCTCTGCTTTTTAATATGCTGTC